GAACTAGGGCCGACTTCCATGTTCCTCGTCCTCCAAGCTTTCATTACCGTTTTTGAAACGCCGATACCATCGACGACATTGGCTTTCTGACAGTGCTTTTCCGCCGTATACTTCGGATGTGGCACGATGGGATTCAGCAGCCGAATTTCCTTTCTTGAAGTTGTACCACATGCAAGCCCGCAGAAGGCATTTTTAGTTGAGCACCTTTTGAACTTTTTTTCAGAAAAAACAAAGTAGACATAGACAAAAGTATATCAAAAGATGTGCAATGAAAATCTCTTCCGATTAGACAAAACTGTTCTTAAACATCTTTTATAGTAGGGGAGAAATGAATGGACAAAGTCAGCGCGCATTCCTTTCCGAACAACCTAATAGTTGGAAGCAATCCCTTTCAAAGCTTACCTATAAAGACCTTCTCGTCGTGCCACGAACAACTTCATGGTTTCAGGGTTCTGCGAGATACAATAGCCACGAGCGGTGAGATTGTCCTGTCCAGGGCCATGGACCATCTAAAGAGGAAGTGAATGACTAGTGATGAGAAGGGCTACTCACAGCTTCTTACCCTACCTGTAATGAGTAGCATTCTCCTATACATGAGCAAGTGAAACCAGGACGATGGTTGGCGCAAAGTTGGTCGCAGTAGCCGAATTCGGCACATTCATTCACATCTGAAATCAATCTCCTGAAGACTGTTGAAGAGGTATTTGTTCCTAAGGCGCCCTTTTTCACTTCAGCCCTGAATAATTTTCTGGGTCATAAGGGTTTATTACAAAAGATCTTGCTTTTTTCTATTATATTCCTGTAACGTCATCAGTAAGAGAACACCTAACCTCTGCCCTCTTCTCTCCCCTTCCCCGCCTCCATCACTGCAATTCCCTTCACCTGCTGTTAACACAAGGACTCGGCTGTGTTCAAAAAACCAAATAGGGTAGTAATCGGTTTATCGAAAACTTCTTGTCCCATCCATTTAATTAAAGCATTTGCTATTTCAAGCAAGGGCTATGTAATCTGTCTCCCACCTGAACAAGTTCGGTGGAATCGTTCATCGAGCTTATATCCATTCGGGCAGGTGCAAACTCCTCCATGAGGTGAGGCATGGCAACCAGCTTGACAGCCCAGTGATGGACACAGATTTTGCGCTGAAATACTATTCATTTATATGAAAATCTGGAATATTGAGAATTTCTCAGCAGAAAAAGTTTTGGAAGTGATCGAAAGAGAGGGAGAAGTAACTTGGAGCCAGTTAATCAACCACCGTGTAAACATCTGCGAGAAACCAACTACTAAAAAACATTGACTAACTAGGTTTTACTTCTCCGCTACTTCAGTACTGAAGAACTATCCATACAATCAAGTTCACTTACAGCAGTTAAGCTCATCAGCGCCATCATCGCAATCTTTCACACCATCGCATAACCGCAATTCATCGATACAGTGTCCGGTTCCGTTACAGTGCCATTTACCCGGTGGGCAACGGTATTCGCCACAATCTTCTTCGTCCGAATTGTCACCTGCAAACCAGTTAATCTGTTAGGCTAGCAACCTCTACCCGATCTCATATCCCTTGACATAACTCAAAATAGGTCTAGATGCCATTCGCACTTACCACAGTCATCATAATAGTCACACTTGAACTTCCTCGGTTGACAGCGTTTGTTCTTGCATTGAAATTCGCTGGCCGAACACTTTTTGAACTCTAAAATAGAGTTTTCTAAGTGCACTGATCTTCGAGAAAAACGGGAGGTTAACAAAAGGATTTACCGCATGTTTCCGGTTCGTCAGAGCCATCAGCACAATCTTTGGATCCATCACAGACCCATGATTTCTGTACACATTGTGATTGATCGGCACATCGGAACTGGTATTGGAAACAAGCGGTATGGTTGTGGGAGCACGAATCCTGAAGAAGAGCTAGGTTTACATGATGTTAAGCGGTATCAGAGGAAATGAAAGGGTTTGTTTGATGTAAGGCAGCAGGCCCTGCGGTTGCGTCGCAAGGGCACAAGGAGGTACACCCCCTAGGGAATAGCTATTACTTCACAATGGATATAAGGAGGTTTTCAACTGGATATCGACCGTACTTTACGGCTATCAGGTGAAGAGTGATGTTTAGTCAACTCATGTCCCTAAGTATTTTGACGTATCAATCCCGTCTTAGGGATGCACCTCGCATTCGACTTCTATTCCGAATCGTAGTGGCGTGTTGAACGCGTATGGGACCTATACAATGACATGCGATGGTCAGCCAACATAGAAGTCAGTGTTTTTTCCTAACAATTCTGGTACAAATAAACAGACCCCAGAAGAAAGGAAGACTTGTTTGCCCCCAGGTGTATAACGATTCCAGCCCATACATTTACATACTACCATAAAATTTTGAAAAAGTCTTAAGGAATCTCA